CACTGAACATTTCCATAGAAACCACCTAAACAATCTTTCACACAAACTTTTTAAAGGGACATTACAGTGTTGTGCTGGAAATGACACCAATATTGTGCGACAGCTATATTTTGTATAGAACGTAATATTGATCGTGGTCTCACATTAAATACTATTATGTATTTTAATTATTTTACTAGTGCTTAATTCAGGTACATTAATAGTTACCCGATAAGTCATATTTTTAAACTGTATTTTCATTGTTGAAGTTTAAAAGTCTGGGTGTGCGACAATGAGAAAAGAGTGATTTTGACACCTATAAGGAGGTTGCAAAGTATGAAAAAATCATAATGGAAAGGTAAGTAAAAAGTTTTTAAGGTGGTTTTATTGTTAGTTTGACTAAGAAAGAGGAATTTGTCCAAAATGATATGTATTTTTATAAATATGACCAAAGAACATAAAAGTGCCCATAGTCTAAGAATCACCCATATATATATATATATATATGTGTGTGTGTGTGTGTGTGTGTGTGTATGTGTGTGTATATATACACAAAGAAATATTCTGGCACAATGTTGATTACAATATTGATTATTGATTTTTTTTTATCATATTGATTATTGAAGTTTAAGTTGAGGCACTTATGGAAATTAACGGGGTCAGTGTGAAGGGTAGTTAAAAGCTTACGCTCTTATAAAACTTAAATGCATTCTCTTAAAAGTTTAGCTTTTTGAGCTTCAGGCATTTGAATTAGGCCTATTATTGCAGTGTTATGGTTAAATAAAGCTAAGTAATAATAATAAGAGGTTAGTGACTTTGTTTTACACTATAAATTCATGTAAACATTATGTACATGGCAATAGCCTACAAAACATGTACATAATGTTTACATGCATTTATTATCCTCTTATTATTATTGATCTTTTCTGTGTAGAATCTTTTACAGGCTATAGGCTGCGCCCTTAAACATGGTGTTATAGCTAAGCACGTGATGATATAAAGATACACCAGGACCTCAAACAATAAACAATGTATGCTTTATGGGATATTATATAAAACGCAAGTCTACTACAGCGTGCAACTGTTGCACAAATAGAGAGCGTGTTTCTTTTTTGACCGCGCGGAGGAGCAGCTGCACCGCCTGCACGAGCCAGTCCAACAAAACACCGTGAAACACACACACACACACACACCCTCTCCCGTATAAACGGCATCTGCCTGTACACAACACAGTCTGTAGCATTCTCGCCTCCCTCTCCTCTCTCATGTGCGCGCGCTGTCATTAACGCACGCCAGACGCGCTCGAGCTCACTGTTCGGTTCGGACATGATATCGGTGCGCACCCGGAGATGAGGCTCAGAAATGGCACCTTCCTAACAGTCTCACTATTCGGGTTATGTGGGCTTATATCATTATCCTGGTACACCGCATTCAGCAATTCCAAAGGTAAGAGCCCGTGTTTACGCGTTCGCTCTCTGTCGGAACGGAACGCATCATGCGTGGAAACCAAATGCTTCTCTTGCATTCTGTCATGCATTCAAATGCTGCAGTGAAACGCTGGAGCTGCGGATCACTGAACAGCTGTTCAATGCAACGCTGCTGCTGCTGCTGCTTGACTTGTCTGTGTTTGGGCACCTTGTGTCTTAATCAACTGCTCCTCAAACTATCAAAGAGGCCTGTTTACTGAAATACTAAGGCAACACTATATAATGCATTACGTTCTGTTTGCAGGTACATTTAGAAGCATATCTACCCAAATAACCATTTTCTGCTGAGATGCTGCTTTCATTTGGGGTTTGATGTTGTTTTTACATCTGCACTTTCTAAACAAGCAACCTAAACCGCTTATCTGATGCTATTTCAACATGTTTTTTTTTGTCCAGCAAATGTTTCGAATGCAGTCATCGCTTCCTGGGGTGCTTGAAGGCTCCTGAGAGGTTCCGAGCATGCTTCTGATGTTGAACATGCTTGAATGTAGTTGGCATGACGAAGAAGGATAGATAGGCTACATTTAAATCTTGGCATTTGCTTTCTTGTCTGGATGTGATGGATCCTTCCTGCTTGCGTCTTGGCGATTGATATCTCATAAGGTTCTTTAGAAGGCAGCGCATAACTTGCAGAAAGTATGTGACATTTGTGAACTAGGAGAAATGGGTATGATGTTTGTGTAACGCATTACCTAAAATGGCTCAGTTGGCCTTTTCCACTTGCTCCCAGTTTTAAATCCTAGTTATATCAAGCTCTATATATGCCCACGTTTGCTCTCAATCCATATTCATTAAGTAAGCCTCATGGTTACACCTGTGTGCACGTAACACAATGAGCTTTTTTAATGCGTGAGTGCAGACTCATTTTTCTAGTTTCTCTCTCCATCACACCTTTTCATCTTATGTTTTTTTTTCTCCTGTCTGGCTCTTTAGGAGTAGTTGAGCTGGTCACAAATCAAAGCAGATGTAGCTACTCTGGTTAATTGCTATTGCTTTATCAAGTGCAACGCAGCAAAAAGTTCTATAGCTGTTTATGACACAAACCTTTCATTTGTGTTTGTTTCACTGGAACTTGCCCTGCTGCTTCTTGTTTTTTTGCTCCAGCACTTGAACATGTCTGTAACTTCCTGTGCTCTTGTCATTATGAACATCTGCCTTTGCTCATCTCATCTGTAGACGCTAAGCATCTTATTCTGTTCCCAGATATTATTCAAGTTTCGAGTGTGTTTTAGTTGTTTCTTGTTATTTACTTCTGTGGAAACCCACACAAAGCTTGACACGCATGCTGTACTGTATGACATGCATCTGAAAATGAGCTTGGTTTGACCGTATCAGTGTACTGTGGAGATTGAGTTTGTTTGTCCAAGTCTTTTTCCAGTTTAAATGAATTGGACTTTATTTATTGTCTTGCTAGAAGAACCTTCATCACCCTGGTTTGTGTGTGTGTGTGTGTTTGTTTGTGTGTGCATGTCTGATGTAGACAATAACAATTGGTCATATTTCTACCCTAAACCATTCAACTCCTGAGTCTTTTTATTTCTGAATGGGCTCATCACAAATGGTGACCTCTAAGGCTTTCAGTTACAATAGACATTATGTGAACCTCTCTTACGTTCTGGTGCAACAACCGTCAGTCATATTTCACCTTTGAAAAAAAAGTTTTAAAATATTAAATATTTTAAAATTAAAATGAGCTCTTTAAGGTCTACTCAACTGCAATGGAAATGCAAAAAAAAAAAAAATTACAAAGTTATAGTAGTATTTGTTTTGAATTTAATTAGTGCTGATTTTATGCCCCCAAAAAAATATAGGCATTTGTAGAACAGAACACACACACATTTACAGAACATTAAAGGGGTCATATGATGCTTTTTTAAAGATCATTATTTTGTGTATTTGGTGTAACAGAATATGTTGACATGTTTTAATGTTCAAAAAACATATTATTTTTCAAATACTGTACATTATTGTTGGTCCTCTATAATTAGTGCTGATTTTATGCCCCCCAAAAAATATAGGCATTTGTAGAACAGAACACACACACATTTACAGAACATTAAAGGGGATCCACAACCGAACTAGAACATAAAATATACATTTTCGTCCAGAGTTCACCGTTTTTTAAATTATTATTATTATTGGTGCACACACAATAAGGGCACATTTTGTATTTAGAAGAGTTGTAGGCTTGTTGTCAGACAGCCGCTGTGTGGTGATGGATTGCTGGAGCTGGAAGAATTAAAACACAAACATCTTGTACCTGTCCAGACATGCCTGTTCAACACACTCTGACACAGGCAGATACCCTTTATAATTGCATGCCTTTGTAGTAGAAATCTCACACCAGAATTTTCCAAGCCTCACAAAAGGAGATAGTTGACCCAGAAATGAAAATCATCATTTATTTGTTGTTATAAAAGTGAACTGTGAACATTCTGCTAAATAACACAATCTTTTATGTTCAGTAGAGGAGAGAAAGCTGTACATGCTTGGAGTACATGAAGGAGAGTAAGTGATAAGATTATTCAGTGAACTATCCCGTTAAGCCTGGAGTATTTAGGAAGGGGTTCAGTTGACTACAGTTGTGAGAGAGTGACAGTATGAGATCTGTACGGTCGCTCCAGGTGAAAGCTCTTCCAGAGAGATAGAGAGAAAGCTCTTATTATCTGCATCCTGAAAGAGATAAAGATTTGGCTTGACCTCTTGATCCTTCCCATTTACTTCTTGTTTGGTCTCTTTTCTTTCTCTTGGTTGCTCACTAGAGGAGTGAAGCCCAGCAGCTATCACGTTGCTTTTCGTTCCAGCTTAAGCTGATGAGATATCTCAGTGATACTCCCCGGTTACCCAGAATCCTCCCAGCAGAGATGAGGCAAGGAATCTGAGCAACCTTGTATTGATTTAGTCTTTTGAGGAAAAAACTGGAAGAGTAACTAGAGACATTGTAGGTCTTGGAAGAATTAGACCTACTATTTACCAGTTTGTCCAAGGCTTTAGTCGCTACTGAAATTCTAGTTTCTCTGCCAGTGTTTCTACAAATACAGATTATGTCTCAAACTGTGATAAAAGATGCAGTTTTCAGTTTCAAGTTTTTTTTCTTATACTCAATTGAACTGAAACCATATAAAGATACAGTGGTTATTGCAAAAGTGAACAAAAATGTCCTTCAAATCAAACATTGAATAAGTGATATGATAAAATGACAGGGCATGCTAAATGTTGTCAGTTACATATTTTCCAGAAATTGTTTTGTAAGCACAATAGTACACAGTCCTCAACTGTTGACAAGCTATAGTTAGATGAACAGCAACATCATACACTGTAAAAAAAAAAATCCGTAAAATTTATGGTAAAAAAAACGGCAGCTGTGGTTGCCGGAATTTTACCGTAAAAAATACGGTAGCAACGTTTTAGGTTTTACGGTTTTAACTTAAATTTACAGTTAAATACCGTAATTTCATTAACTGATTTAATATTAATATATCAACCTATTGAAGTACTGAAATGCAGGTGGTGATGAGAAAGTCACATGATGAACCAAAGCCCATCATAAGCAGATTTTAGATAATAACAAATATAGAAGGTCCACAGTGTCATTCACACAAACACTAAACACCATCATGGTAACACACATGAATCTGAAATAATGCAATAAACATTCATTTAACAACATTAGGTGTAACACACAACCTTAATATACAAAACTGACAAGAAAAAACTAAGAAGAAACAGTTATTTCAACAAAAAAACATCAAATTTGAAATGTAACGCAGGGAATTCTGGGAATGTCAATTTACGGTTATTCACTGTAAATTATAGTCTTTTTCACTTCCAAAAACGGTATACTACTGTAAAATGAATGTCCAATACAGTTTTTCATCGTATATCGTAGGTGAATTTACCGTTGACCATTTAACAGGTTTTTACTGTAGCATTTTTAGTCTTTTACCGTTAAATTCACGGTAATTTTTTACAGTGTACTGTAACTATACATGTTCTTTTTTTTTTAGTAATGCACAATGATTATGTACAGCTGTATCACATGCTTGCAGCGTGTTAGCCAAACATTTCCACCTGCATTTGCACTCTTGTATAAAATACTTTTCAGGCCTTAAAGGTCCCCCATTTTATTTAAAAAAACATGAGTGGTTTTTGAGGTTCAGTTCCACACGCCCTTCCTGAGGCAAGTCTAATTTGGTAAAAAAAACTAAAAAATTTTTGGAATTTGGGAAATAGTACAATTTATTTCATAGGGCCCTAATTTCAACCAGCCATATTATTGAATATAGATATTTTAATTTCGATTGTGTGCTGGCCTGAGTTTGCACTCATGTTAATTTGTTATGTAATATTGTGTAAAATCCTCTGGGTGCTGCTCTGTTATCCATGTGCATCAGTCTAGCCAAAAAAGGCTGAACTTTAATGAGAGATGGTGTTTTGATGAAAGCCGTTTGCGTTATTCACGGCCAGGATCTGTTCCTCAGCCGCTTATCAGCCTGTTTGGGGCATTTCAACACACATCAACTACATCTGAGTCATGATTCATATTTAAGCAATTGGTCAGGATGACTAATCATCTAGTTTTCTAATAGCGACAAGCCCAAGAGTGAGGTTGAGTTGGTGATTTATGTTTTTTTTTTTTAACACACAGAGTGAGACTGGATTAAGAATGCAGGTTAGCAGGTGGCATCATTTATAATTAACGTGACTGATGTTTTACCTGTGATTTCCATATGGAGAAACGCAGGTGTGTGTGCCCCATGTGTGTTCAACGTTTACTTCTATTTCACTGTGGAGCAAATCTGTCTTGTGAATGTTTACAAGACATCCACTATCCAGCAACAGTGAGAAGGAGTAACCATGAAAAACAAGAAGTCTCGATGCAGCTGACTACCGCAGTGTCACAATTTTTTTTATCTTTGACATGCAGTATAAATGCAATATACTGTATATTATAAATAA